CAAAATCTAATTTATATTTTAAATTTCACTTAAATTAATACGTCACGTATCATTCACGACTTAACTTGTAGTTAAATATGTATTACTATGCTCTTTACGAGTTATCTCATAGATCATTTTCATAGAACGCCCAAAAATTAATTATTTTGTAGGAAATAATAAATTAAACTTTTTTAATATCATAAAACAATGTATTTAACATATTTATTCTTAATACACTTAAATTAAGTATAATGATTTATACTTAATGAATTGTTTAATAATGTAAACTTCAGGAGTAAATTACCCTTTTAGGACGTTAATCAAATAAAATACTTTCCTATAATCTATGTATCCATATAAAATATTAGAATTTGCCCTCTCCCTATCATAATGGGGTAAAGCCAGAAAAAAAATGAATATATTTTGGGGTAATAGGTACAGTTCCCTGTATTCCAATTAAATTGATTGATTTAATTTATATTCTTGTCATCTATTGATTATATGATTATATATTAATGTCATTGTAATTTTATGTTTTTTATGGTTTACAGTAATAAATGGATAAAGGAATACGAGAATTCGGAGACGAGGGATCAATACGTCTCGGAATTGGGAATAAAGAATGCATCACCCATTGACCAAGGGTCCTTTACGTGTCAGACGGTGGAGGATGGTATGCAAAAATGTCTCTCGAAGAGGGTAGACGTGCGAGCTGCCCCCAGAGTCTGGATTGAGCCAATGAGTCTGACAGTCAGAAAGGTAAAGTGCTTACTGGGGCATTAATTAAAGGCTGATCCTTTAGCTGTTTTTCCTTTTTTATCCTGGATTCTGGGGATGATGACGCGTGGGACTACTGTTGCAGGGCGAGAACTTCACAATTAAGTGCTTCAGTATGTCAAGCGGCAGGAGGCATAAGAAGAGCAAGTATACTTATAGTTGGACCAAAAACAAGGAGCTGCTACCTATTAAAACCGATACCGAACACTACGAGGTTCTGTTTCCCATGGGCAGTATTCTTCAAGTATCTAGTATTAACGTAAGTATTTTTATAGTTTATACAACGATTGGATAATTTGTATTATTATCATTAATATTTTTTTAAACTATATATTTAGATAAGAATCTAAACGTTCATGATGTTTTATAATAAATTACAATATATAGGATGAAGGCTTGAGACATGAATGTTAGTACATAATAATTGTACAAGAACCTACTTAAAACTACAAAAAACCGCTATAAATTCCATAGTATGCTTGTTAGTATACAAGTTAGTAAAACAATAAAATTTTAAATCAATATTTTAATCGATTTAATATATATATAAATAAAAATAAATAAAATGCATGAACAAAAACAGAAAATTTACAAATTATAAGTAAATCTACAAAATACAAAATAAGCTAATTTCACGAATTTCTCATCTAAAATTTTGCCCATAATTTTTACGTAATTTAATTATTATTAAAGCAATTCCAATAAGAAAAAATACAAAATTTAGTTCATTTTGTATTTTTTGTACAAATCAAAGATAACAAAAGTGACTCAATGGAACAAAGAATAAATATTTCAGTAGAAAAATGTGAATTGAAAAAACAAATATAAATTGAGTTGGTAAACTTATTTTTCAATACTGAAGAAAACTTAATTGTGGAATAAAATGAATACATTATTTTGAAATAAATTATTAATTAAATAGAAGTTGCAAATTTATGAAACTATATCAAACTAAAATTTATCTAATTACAATATTATTATGTTTGATCATTGAAAAATAAGAAAGTAATTGAAATTTTCTTAAAATAAAAATGAATAGTATAAATAATTGTAAATAATATTAATGTAATTTATAAAACATGAATTCAGCAAATAAAGTTTCAAGATATAAAATCAAATGTTACTCCATGGACGAATAAAGATACTCACACAGATTAGACCAAACACAAACAACATACGAACCGTAAATAACTTGAACAAATATGAACAAGCAGAAAGATACGGGTATACGATGTACACGATTATACAATACAGCTTGATAGAAGCGAAGAGAAAGATATTAATATTAAATGTTCTATACTGACACATTTCATGATTATAATTTGTTCGTAATACCCTAAGCCTTAGAACCTAAGAAACATCAAAGGAACTGTAACAGATTTATAAAATATAAGTAATAAAATATATATATAAAAACTTGATAATATATTTTTTTAAATGCTCATCTTATAAAATAATTAACTAGATTTATTTTCAAATTAATTAAATTATCCTATATCCTTTTTTAATTTTATGAATCTTCAATAATTGATGTTAGTAATTAGAAATTTTATGAAGGATTATTTATTAGAATTTCATAAGTTACAAAGTTTTATCATCCTTTTAACTAGCTAATCATATATATTTGCAAAGTAATTTGTATAAGTACTAGTAGAAAGACTTAATGATTCAACTACTCCATCAATATTGTCTGTTTCCTATCCCTTATTTCTACTGAAATACTTTTGACAACTATTTATATTATCTAAAAACATCTGTCAAATAATCACGTTCTTGACAAATACTTGACAGTTAATTCATAATGAATAATATATATTCATTACATAGATGATATATAGATTGTCAAGTCTATATTATAGAATTAATCCTTCCAAATTTTTATTGCAACAGTATTTTTATGAAAGTTATATCAAATCTGACAATTATAATGCAATGATGGCGAACCAATTATACGCCTACTTATTTTAGGTGTAATTACTTTTTATTTACGTATTTTGATACACCGATTCGCCATTTGCATTCAAAATTTGCAAATTAAATAATGTTGGTCCTGAAAAATGACTCATTTCAGGATGCAATATAAAAGTTTTTTTTGGAAATTTTCATTTGAACCCTTTTCTAATTGCTAAGAAAATTATACTTTTTATTTTAGCATGAATAAATTAAAACAGTTACAAACATGTTTATAATTGTTTTAATCTATTAAGACTCCAACATTGTTATTTTAATTCTTTTTACAGAAATCTACACAGTTCTCATGCCTCGTACAAGATTCAGCAGTTTGGGCAGAACAGAGTATCCTGGTGAACGTCATCGACAGCCACCTGATAAAGACGTGTCCAGGTGAGAGGAAGTTGAAGCTTCTGTGGCCGGAAACGGCTCCCGGCACTGAGAGTTTGCAGGAATGCCCTGCAGGATACTCGGGCGTAGCAAGGCGAGCCTGCAATTTGCGAGACGCCGGTCAGCCGACTTGGTACTTGCCCGACTTCGCAGGATGCACACCTACCAAACTCATTCAACTCGATTACGACGTAAGTGAACTCAATTTGGAAAATTACAAAGTACAGCAGCATCGATCGATAAGTTAATTCATTACCGCAACTCACCCTCGCAACCCCTCCATTAAACTTAGAAACTTAAAGAATACTTCTTGCACGCTTCAACTTCCGAAGCATCCAATAATTATTTAATGGCTCTTCTCAAGAATATCACTTTTGCACACATTAGTACCAATTAAAATACCACTTTAGGGACATCAACCATAATAAATTAATTGAATTAAATAATTATAAGCAAGTTTCACTATAAATTATGCATTTAGCATTTTTTTTCTTTTGAATAAGTTATCATATTAAATTAAATTTATATAATAATTTTTTATTGAAAAAATACTGATGTAACGATTTTAGATTCTAAAAATAACAGTACATAATATGTATAATACTTTTACATAATAAATAAATATATTTTCATATATTACTACATAAATTTATATAAAATATTCTATGTAATCTAGTCAATTTAAAACTTTTTAAATACTTTATACATTTTTAATGCAATTATTCATAACTATTATATTTGTAATTAAAATTAATATTTAGGATTAAATTATTTTTAAAACTGTACTTAATTATAAACTTCTTAATATACCAATTAAAATCTGTGTAAGAGATAAACATGGTAGGGTGTAAAGTTATGAGATCACCCTTGGCCGGACCCTCGGCGCGACACTTTCGCAAGTTCTCACACGCTTTTCCTTCATAGTTTCAGAAGATTCGGCTGGGTTATGGGTCGGGAAACGCGTTAACTATTCTGAAGGGCTACAAGAAGTATTTGGTGGATGGGAAGTCCGCTCTCCTCCCGGGCGAAGGGTCCCGCATCCTGGGCCTCGTCCACGAAGTTATTTCCTACATAAACAACTCAATCGCGACGGACGTCAGGAATACCGTCCTGGAGATCGTCGATCAGATCCTTCAGAGAAAGCAGGCGGTCATAAATCAAACGGTGAGTGGCATGCCTTGATTATTCCATACAGACTTTTTTGTACATACACTTTTTTATTCACTTGCAATGATTCGGAAATTTTCTTGAAAAAATGTTTTTATTCTATTTGTGTTATTACACAATATTAATCGGATTATATTTTATAGACCATGAGTAACGATATATTTTGACAGCTTGAATTTATAAGTTTATAAAAACATAATAATTAGGGGCTTTTATATGAATAAAAAAAATGAGATTAAATTTGAAAATTTGAATTGTCTCATGCTTAAATATACTAAATCTAAGATTAACAAAATTTGCCTTATTCTTGTTAAAGGTGCAAAATAGTAAAGAAAATAATAAACTTAATAGTCTAAGTAGCTAAACAAGATGAATACTAAGAATAAGATCAGTTATTACAGTTTCTGGAAGACTATCTCATTTATATTAAACAAACAAAATGGTACTAAATCTAAATCTAACAAAGTTAAGTAAAACTAGCTAATCATATATTTTTGCAAAGTA